TGGGGCCTTCATAATGCTTTCCATCATAGTAGATCATTGTCACATACATGTTTGGACTTGTGCTCATCCTCCTCACGAAATTGGGACTTGGGTTCTGAAATTGGGGGTTTGGGTTCGGATTTTGGGGTTTGGAATTGGGCAATGACAATGATTTCACAATATTAGGTCTGTAGAGATGGTGGGATGAAATACAATCGGATTGAGAGGATTACACATGAACAAAGGGAGCTATTTAGGTTTACACAACAACAACAATCGAAATGAGACCGAAAACATGGAAAATATAGGGTTTCAGTCGACATTTAGTCGACTAAATATCGATACTTAGTCGACTAAATATCCCAAAAATGTAGTCGATTAAGATGATTTTTTAGTCGACTAAATTTGCGGTAGTCCACTTGCTGAAGATTGACCATTTGCTCGACTAAAACAGCAAGGTAGTCGACTAAAAGGGGGTAGGTTGGTGGATAGTTCTTGATCAGGGGCAAATTGGTTATTAATTAATTAATGAGGGGCAAAAGGGTCAAAAAGCCCTCTGTTGATTCTTTAAACATCAAAAAATCACATTAAAATATCAAATCAAACAATAGATGTCCTACCATTTAAAAGTTTAAATGTAGATATCAAATCAACCTATACACATTAGTTCAATTTTTGAGTTGAGGTTGTGTTGATGTATGTGGTGTGTTCAAGCATTTGAAAGTTAGATGATTAAATAAAGGGTTTTATAAGAGTTATGTTGTAGAAAAAGTAAATGTGTAATGTTATAGAGATTCGTTTTGTGTGCCGTAGTTTTTTTTTTTTTTTTTGCTTCAAAAAATACGAGTCTCACAAGATATTGTGTGTGTAAGAAATTTTTTTGTGTCATGTGACATGATAGATGCAAATCCCTTCAATAAACTCTAACTTTGTTTTCTCAAACAAATACAATAGTTTGCCTAGGAGAAACTTATGGGATTTTTAATGTCTTCATTTTGAAAGTGCAACGTCTTGCCACATTGGTGGCTGCAACAATATTGTTGTTAGTGTCTGTTCTCCTTGTATTGCAGCAATGATATTGTTGGTTGGAGAAAGAGAAGAAGTGATGAATGTGAATTTTTTTGAGAAATTGGACAGGACAGGGAGTAATAGACCTTGAAGGCATAAGTATTTTGATTCATACATCTAAGTAGATTGACGATACTCCATTTACTGAGTTTCTTTCTTTCTTTATTTAGTCACGATTAAATAATGAGTTTGAATGTCATTTTTAATCTTAGCGATTTTTTTCTTTAATTACTTAGATGCGTTCGAGTTCGTGGGGGTTGTGAGTTAAATTTTTCCAAACCTATTCCCCATTTTCTACCTTACAGATTGGAGGGTTTTTAACCAATGTTTTAAGATTTGGGTTGGGTCAGAACTCACATGTTCACACAACATGTGGTGCTAAAATGTGTTTGTCTCATAAATAAGTAAAATTGTATCTACCATTTAGCTGATCTAAAATATATGACGATTTCAATTCACTGAATATTGAATATTTAATAAGGAGTGTTATATTTATAAATTTTTTATTTATAAATTCTTATAAATTACATTATATACTACGGGTAGTACATATTCAAATACTATGTACTACTCTTAGTACATAGTATAATTTGTAAGAATATTTAAATAAAAAATTTATAAATATAATCTTACTCATTTAATAATAGATATATCTTGCTTGCTTTATTAGAAACAAATTTACTTTAGAATATGTATAAATTTTTTTCTTTAGAATACCTTTTTATGACAATTTTAAATTAAATATCTAGCAAAATACAAGAAAATACAAGTCATGTGCATTGTTGTGAAACTTATTAAAACTGTCTCGTAAAACTAAACTAAATATTGCATTTTATTTAATAAATAAGGATTAATTTTTTCATTTTACATCAGAATTTTTTTTCTTCCTCCACACATAATTTTAAGATGAGTCTCACTTTTCTTTTGTCTTTTTACTTTTTTATGAATCCCACTCATTTTTTGAGTCAGGTGAAGAAAATAATTTTCTTATATAGAATGAAAAAACTGTTTCCTTTAATAAATTGTATAATTGGGTTCCAATTCCAAAGCACAAGTAATATATATATTTTTTATTTTCCTCTGGTTAATCAAATTATTGGGTTGACCCGATTGTTAATAACCCCTAATTCAAGCAACCAAAATATGAATTTATATAAACTAATGTAATCGTACCTGAATGGGCATCTAAATAATATTGTTTTCAATTGTTGTGAGTTTGAACTTTGTGCTATTTAATTACGGATTGAGAATTCTTCCATCTGTTGGCTCTTGCTTCCTATTAAAGATCAAAATGGGTATATTAAAATGTAATTATAATTCAAGTGCAGGGGTATTGTAGTCCACGCAAAGGAAAAGTCATGCGCATTACGCATCATGTTGACAATATAAACTAGGAGGAAGTTCGGCCTCACACTTCTCTTTCCCGCCTTTATTTTTTTGTTTTTTGTTTTTTCCGTTCAGCATTGCAGCAAACCAATTCTCTTTCCCTCACCCAACACTAAATCAAATTCGTTATTCCAATTTCGCATTGCAGCAAATCAAGATCTATCTCTCTCTCTCATTGCAATTTCGGAAACGCCGTAAGTGCTTTTTTTAATCCTTCCGCAAACCTCTTATCAATCTCGCTCTTCCAACTTGTTTTTTTGATTCAGAGCTACTCTTCCTATCACGTTTGATATCAATTTTAGATCGTAACCTGGGGCAGATTCTTCTGCGTCGTTTCTGAATTCTTCAATTCCTCTTTCTCGAGGGTTTTTCTTCAGGTGACCAATCCGTGAGTTCCGATTCTTAGTTTATTTCGGGTGCACTTCAGGTTAATTTTGGAATTTTATTTTCATTTTTGTATTCGTGTTATTAGCCCCTTCGAATGATGTACGTAATTTTGTTCTTTCTTAATTTGTGAGGTTGTTATTATTTGCACTCTGTTTGGATGTTGAGAAAGCAAGAATGAGAAGGAACTTCCGAGACTAATGGTTTCTTTCTGAAAGAGTTGGTTGTTACTTTTTCAGGTCTGTTAATGGCACCCGTGCTTAGCTGAAATCGCAACTAACAATGGATTTTGAAGCACGACGAATTTTGCATGATGTAAGAAGCAGCAACCTTCATCTGGCGACTTTTCTGATCTGACTTAGATTGGTCACTAACAGTGTGCTCTTAAATAATTTCATTTATGATAATCTTAGAATTTGTAGTTCGTGATGTTAGGTTTATTGGTCACTTTGAATTGCTCCTGTAATTCTTTTTTGGCATATGTTTAATTCGTGTTTGTGCTTGACATTTATTCTCACGAAAATGCAACTTTGAGCATTTATTATAACTGAAGCAGGGAAAGAAATAAACGGTCTTATTTTCCAGTGCCCTTCTCTCCGTTACTACTGGCTACAATCAATTATGATTTTAGCTACTGTGTTTCTATTATTGTGTGAAAATAAATTGAGATGTTCATGGATTTGGGCTATATTTTCAGGAGCAAGCGAGTATTAGTCGGAGTTTTGGCAGCAATATTCATCCGTCTAGCCAGTCAAGGAAAATTTCTATAGGAATTATGGCAGATTCAAAAGCGAGCACAAGATGTGGAGCCACGAAAGGGGACGGGGCTGTCATTCCTAATACAGAAAGGGTAATCTCTAATGTGGGAAATTTCATTGGAGAAAAAAGCAAAGTTGAAGGAGTGACAACTTCCTTTAATACAAAGCAAATTGAGGGTCCAGAAGCGGTGAAGTTTTCTTGGACCTCAAAATCCGTTTACAAAAGAACACCTACTTCTGAGACCATTCTTCAAGCCAACCAAGCCTCTACTTTCCTAGTCTCTCCAGGGGGCCCGGATAATCCGGATGGAATAGAGTGTGCAGCTGGGAAAAATTCAGTTCAGCTTGTCTCATATCAGACTTCAAATTTTCCTTCGAATAATTACAAGAAATTTGATGGGGAAACTAGCAAAAGGAAGGGAAGAAAGGATGGGACCACTGAAAGGGTAGAGGAATTTACATTTATCACTGCACCAGAAGTCTTCGAGTCTGATAAAACCAAGCCAGAAGACAAAATAAATAGAACAGAGAATAGAACTGAAAGTTTGAGGATGAAGCTTCGCCAAATATTGGGGACCACTTCTTCCCCTAAGACTCAGCATTCAGGTTCTCACGCTCGTAACATGGATGATGAAAGTTTGCCGCTTGAACAGAATTTGAACCATGAGGAAAATAAATTTGTTAAGACCAGACAAAATTCTGATTCTATAGAATCTGATTCAGAACATCCTGATCATACACTTAAGAGGCCAGTAACTCGTTCTTGGAGCAGAAAGAAAGTGTCTTCCAAAAATCAACCAGGAAAAGGTAAAAGTGTCCCATCTTCAAAAGACACAGAGAAGCATCGAGAAAAAAGTATATTCTCTTTTGAAGGTAAAAGGACTGGGATGCGAGATGGTTTTCCAAATGATGGTTCCTCATTGTCTTTGAAGAAAAATAATCAGGCAAAGAATTCCAGAATTGGGCCACATAAGATCTGCTTCACTGAAAATTATACTGCAGATAAACTTCATCAAGACACTTCGAAGACGGATCCACCACCGCTTGATGGGGCAACATCTTCACTTGGGAATAAACTGGGAGGATTTTTTGGTCGCTTACCTGATCATCAGACAAAATGCCCTCAGACACGGAAAATGAACCAAGAAAAAGAATTTAACCTGCCACCAACTGTAAACAATACAGATCAGCATGGAGAACTTGAGGTTTCAGAGAGTGGAAACCAGCAAGAAAATAGAAGTAGTCCAGTTATACAGACTGTTGCTAATTCACAAGATAATTTTCAGAGTCCTACGTTTCAACTTAATACACCTATTTTAAGTTCTTCTCCTAGCTCAACACCAAAAATAGACCAAAAGGAAAATGATGTTAGTAGTCCAGCATCAACTGAAAAAAGATTTTCTCTGAGAAACATTTGTAATTTAAGGACTTTCCAGGCTTTGGAGTCAGACTTCAACGGGCTAAGGGAACAAAGGCAATCTTCTGTATCCTTATCACTCAAGGGTCTCAAGTTTATAATTTTGTGTCTTCGGGCCCTGAACTAGACATGTTGTGTTTCTGTCTTTTGTTATTCCTTATTAGACTTCAGGATATGGAGGAGCTCAAGCGTTCTATTCCCAGAAACGACAAATCTTTTGAGAATGAGAAAAGAGAGCAGGATTGCTCATCCGCTTCATCATCTGAAGAGAGGAACACTCCAGTATCTCATGAAGGTTTGCCTTTCATCAAATAAGGATATATGCATTCTCTTGTAGACTCTTAATTTTGCAGCATATGTATCTCACTGAATTTGTTGTACTTCTTTTTAACAGGCTGATTTTAGTATCAATTGCATCTTAAAAAATTGGTTCAAGCACACATTAGCCTCAGAAACTTAAATAATCCAAATATTTAACACATTTGAAGAACACATTAGCCACAGGAAGTAATGAGCATGTGTCTTTCATAGGGATGATTTGTCTCCCATTTTCTCCTCTTTCCATATGTTAATCTTATATTTTCTTCAAAATTATGAATTACTCATTTCATCAGTAAATGTGTTTTCATAGGAAAAAGTCCAAAGAATAGAAGATTCTAACATGTCTCATTTATTCTCAAATTGTTCTGATGGGAATTGGGATGGTTGGTTCTTCATTTAATGCATGCTTGGAAATCACTGACTTGGTAGAGTATTATATAATTTTGGTAACAGCCAGAGGTCTTTATGGTACTTAGCATGTACCTAGTCCTTAACCTCTGATCTGAGACTGAGATGAGCTCTGTCATTACTCATGACAAGTTACTTTTGCTTATACGGTGTTAGAGTGTCCTGCCGTGTCCACTGGTCTTTCTAGGTTCTTACACCTGTTCAGTTTTTTATTTTGAAAGGTTCATCTTCCTGATGGTACCAGAAAAAACCTATGTATATATTTATCAATCAACAGTGACAAACCCAGATAACATGGGTCTTAACGGTATCTCTACTAGCAACGTGTCAGAATACCTCTACTAACAATGCAACAGTAATCCTGTTACAGATTCAATATTTAGAAGAAAGAACAAACAACAAAAAAGGACTGATAAATGACCCACTAACAGCTCCCTCAACAAGGAAAACAACCATTCCTCATTGAGTTCCCTTCCTCCCCAATTTTCAGTAATTGCTCATCAGATGCCCCCACGATCTTCCACTCTCCTTCATAACTAACTCGTCAGCACCTTTTCCACCAATTACTTCCTCTCCATTCAATGCCTGCCACGTGTAATTTTAGACTCTGCTCATTTTCTTCTTTTTCCTTCGAATTGTTAGCAACGTCCACATTGGCAGATTTCACATTGGGTTCATTATCCACCTTGGCAGCAGAATTCACTTTTGGCTCAGCAGAATTCACTTTGGGCCCATTGTCTTGGGCTTTGCTTTTCTTCTTATGTTTCCTCTCGTATCTCCACTTTAGTGGTCCAACGATACCTCCCTGGCTCCCTCCCTATCATTCACCTTGTCCCCAAGGTGAAAAGATGGAAAGAGTGTCTGCAATTGTTGTGTGGCTCCTCCAGTTGATTGATGATGGTTGTGATGGATGAAACATACAACATTGAACCTGATAGGCCAGGAATAATTAAAATTAATCATATATAAATGTTAGCAGAGAATGTGGCAGAGCATGCTCTTCCAAAGTCCCTATGTGTTAGTTATTTAATGCATTTGTTAGTTTTACTTTAGTCGCACCATCTGTGTTATCAGATATTCTGTGATCATCCCCCCCCTAATTAAAATTAATCATATATAAATGTCAGCTGAGAATGTGGCAGAGCATGCTCTTCCAAAGTCCCTATGTGTTAGTTATTTAATGCATTTGCTAATTGTACTTTAGTTGCACCATCTGTGTTATCAGATATTCTGTGATCACCATCCCCACCTCCCCCCCTCCTCCTCTTTTTATACTAGTGCCTGTTCAAGGCAGAGCCATTTTCTTTGTTGTGTCTAAATTTTGTACGTGTAGGTCCAAAAGTAAGACATACTGCTGAGAGGAAAAGTTTTACGCTTCATCCAATCAAAAGGCTGTGCAAGCATGAAGGCATTAAATTTAACGATAGCAGTCCAGCTTCAGTGTCTTCAAAAGGCAGAACTCTACTTTGTACCTGATATTTTTCATCTAAATATGTTATTCTGATGTATATAATCTTTATACTATAATTCTTATTTTTACACAAAATGATTGGGGACAGGAGAAAGTGATTGGATCGATGAAGCTTCTGAGCAGAATCAAGATGGATTTGCAAGGTTTTCTTTTTCTTTTTCCACGATGAATTGGATGATGAGTCCGGAAAAATACAAAATACAACTAAGATTTGCATAATCTTTTTTTTTTTTTTTGGATAACGATTTGCATAATCTTTTAATTGTATGATTCTCGACATTTGTTAGGGCTGTTGAACTGTTAGCCTTGGAATTGGGCAAACTTAAGAGCAAACTTAAGTCGATGATGAGTCAGAAATCCGCAGAAATTTTGAAGTCTGTTGCTGAAGAGATACGTCTGCAGCTGCAGAATGTTCATTCTCAGATTCAAACAGACATGTACGTATATTAGACTGATAAAATTTCAAGCTTCCGATATCTCGTGCTTTTATGTGTTTATGAAAAATGTTTCAGAGGGAAGCTTACAAATCTCAATAAATCAAAGAGAAAACGGCTAGAATCAAGATTTGAAGGTAGAAAAATTTCTAGTTTTACTTGAATACATTTATGTTTTGATTTAACTTGTATAGTTATTGTATACATCTTTCTCCTTTTCATATTTGCTTTTAAATTCAATTTCCAAAACCTGCTGCCTAAATAGAAAAATTAACAAAATAATCATTGTCCAGCTCCAGCAATAATGTTTGTGACTCCACGAATCGATGTGCATTCAATGACTCAGAATAATCCTCCTAATTATCTAAAGAAGACATTAGTTTGTATAAAAAAAAAACAGAGAAGACATTAGTAAATGCTTTTAAGTTCTCAAGATATTAAGTGCTTTTACATTTTCATTTGCTGATTCTATGTAATTAGGATTAATTAGGAGGATGGTAGGCTGATCATTTTGTAGGATTTAGCTTTACTCGTTTTTTTCTCCTTTTTTTGGTTCACTTAATATTATTCTCTTTGGTTTTATGTGAAATATAAAGATCCAAAAATTAATGGACGCAAAATTCATCTTGTTTGTATTCAAACTTCAGGGCTCATACGAATTTGATAATCACAATAGAATACTCCTGCTGAGATATAATATAAAATTATTGACACTGTATCACTTACAAATTTAGGTGAAACAGTTGTTTATTATAGTATCGGATTTTGTGTGGCCACGTACTCACGAGTTATGATGGACGTGTCATAAGAAATTTAAAAAAAAAAAAGGCGAGACAAAGAAATAGCATGGTTCTATTGAAAATGTCGTCGCATCGGATCTTCCACTTAGAATTTTTTCAACTTTATTTATATATTTGCCGCTGAATTTCGTATACAATGTTTTCCTCATATTTCCTCTTCTTAATGTCACTTTCTTGTCATATTATGCTTGAGCGTGATTTTCACTCTCCTTCCTCTCTTTCGTACCTTTTCTCACCAACTCTTTTTCCTAACAAAAATGTAGACCAGCAGAAACAGTTGAGCTTAATATATGATAGATTCAAGGAAGAGGTTAATCTGCATCTACAGGATTGCAGAAGTACTGTTGAAGGTCTTGAGGCAGAGCAGAAGGAGATCAAGGGAGCCCTGGAAAAGCAAAGTATGAAAATTTAGAATATTTGCATTAGCTTATTTTATGTTCAAAATAGTTTATAAACATGCAAAACGCGTCTTTTAGATACAAAATAACCATAAAATATCAACTCAACGGTTTAAGTTTCCAATTTAGTTTACTTTGAAAGTAAGCTTGTTTACTTTGAAAGTAAGCTTATACTAAAACACGTTTGGTTTTATTTTATTTTTTTAGTTTTTGAATCTCTTTATGAATTAGTAGTTAAGAAGAAAGCCTGAATAACCTGTAGAAGCTTGTGTTTGTTAGGTCTATAGTTTCATTTTGGCTTAAGTGGTTTAGGGATGTGAACACGATCTGGAGAATGTAAATGGTCAGTTGGTAGTTGTTGCTGTTAGTTAATGCCATTGCTCTCTCATCTCGTGGAACAGGTTTGTGGGACAGAATCAGTCATCAATGTGCCATAGGAAGCAATGTTACTAGCATTGCTAGGGACCAATTGAATATTGATGAGTAACTAGAGGGAGAGTCATATCACTTTAATGGAATATAAAATGAGGGGGGGGGGGGGGGGGGGGGGGGGGGGGGGGGGACAGAGCGAGTGAGGGAGTAATGCAATTCTATCATCTTCCCCCCCCCCCCCCCCTTTTCTGAGCAAATAAAGGTAAATCCTTTCAAATCTCTAGGGGCCATGACACAATCTGCGTACCTTTATATAATCTTCTCTATCATTTCTGTTAATTATTATGTCTTAAAATTTTAATTACATGTCGTTGTATATGAGACACATTGTCTAATGCAACAAAAATCCTTGACAAATTCATACACTTCGGGAAGAAAATTCAAACAATTTTGTTTGTAATATTTTGATTAGCAACTACTTCATCTTTAGCTCGATAAGGGATTAGTGTTCGTGTTCTTAGGTCTAATCTCTTATTAAGCAAGAAAGATTACCGGTTGCATTATTGATTAGTATTATGTAGGTTGTGGCCACATTTTAAATATATCTTGTATAACAGGGGTAGCACATAAGAAGCTTCTATCGCAAGTTGAAGACGCAGTGGAGGTCCAATTCAATGACGCTCAAAGGAAAATAACAGCCACCCAGGAGGCAAGTATTTTTGCACGTACTGGCTATATGCACTAGTTCTAGGTTTTCACTGTTTTTTCATAATTTGAGTTGCTGGTTAGTCATCAATCAATCGCTTGATTCTTGGATTACAAGTGTACTGATACATTGTACCACACTTTGCGTTAAATTATACTTGAATCACTGGCCGCAGGACAAAAACGGGCTGAAGGCTGCGTAATGCAGGATAGCCAATCATTTGTATTGCACTAGTTAGGTGTTGTGTAGACAACATAAATTAGCATTTCAAGTTTTCTTGGCACCATCTTCTTTTTGTTTCCCCTGCATTGTTCATTGAACTAATGAAATCTTGCTGGTCCAGCCGGCATTAGTCCTTCCTCTTGTTTAGATTTTCTTTTTCCCTGGTGATTGTGATTTCTTCACAACATTGTTAACTATCATTGTATATGCAGACACGAAGCATTTTGTATCGCATAGAACTGATTTTATCCTCCTAATTGATTGCAGATGGCAAGGGGAAAACTGCAGCAATTGAATCGTGTTATAGCTATGTGCTTGAAAGAGGGTATTCTAAATTGATGTGATATTCTAAATTGATGTGATTTCTGCTTATTCTTTTTCTTTTTTTTGAAAATTTTTCTGCTGATTCTTTGCAAGTTAGGAACTTCGCTCAGAAGTAAGCGCACCTTGAGATTTCACTAGATTCTTAGAACCGGTATCATTAGAGATTTCTATGTACTTAATATTATCCTCCCACCCTCCCCCTTTTGAGTGATGCTACTTACAAATGAACTTTTTCACTTAGTGCATAAAAAAGATGATTTGGCCAAGTTCAAGTAACTCCACTTAATTTTTCTTTTATCGAACTCGAATACTGGGTTTATTATGCTTGATATGTGGGTGAAAAATATCCCAAGTGTCACAAGGACTGTTCTTTATCCTTAATCATTTTCGGATTTCAACGCGCAATTTGACGGGTTTGGAAATAACTTATATGTCCAAGGAAACTAAAAATGGAAAATACAAAAGAAAAGCAAGAGTGTCTTTGTCTCACAATGGAGAGTGGTGGTTGACGAGTCACTTCGAAATTATTTTGGAAGTGGAAGTTGAAACTATGTATAATGATATATCGTTGTTTTGGACTTTGATTACATGAAAGAAGAATGAGAATGTCAACATCCATCGTCTTATCAAGGATACCAAATTGTATTTCCTTGTGTGGTGTTGCATCCTTCCCGTTTCCCAAGTCCAGCTGGATCACCCTCGTCTATAAATTTCAAAGCACTGACGGTCATAAATACCGAAAGTAGAGACAAGAAGACGCCCGGGCTCGTGATCCCAATGTGAACATCACGTGAAAGCCTGTGACCGCTCACTGGCGCTCACACATATCTTCGGAACATCGACCAAAGGGTTACTATTTGACAAATTTTATATCCAAATATAATCCAAATAGTACTTTTTAGCAGGCTGTCGTGCGACGTAATTCGCTATAACTAGTAGTGAATTATGTTCGTCAATAATTTTATAACATATGACATATTTTTGTAGAAAAAAATTGACCGGAGGAATTCGCTACTAGTGATAACAAATTTGGTATGCATGTGGCCACTTGTCACGAAATCATTGGCGAACGTGATTTGCTATCAATCGTAACGAATTATGTCGTGTAACCGTTTGATAAAAAGTATTGTTCGCATGACATTTGGGTGAAATTTTTGACAAACAATGACATTTTAGTCACTGTCACCATATCTCCTCTTGGGATTGAAAATCTAATATTCTAAGTAAGGAATAGGGTGTGGCTTCGTACCACGATCTCCACTTAAAATAACCTATATACTATTTAGAGTTGGCAAAAATGAGCCATGAGTCGGGTTAGGTTGGTAAAAATGTGCTGCCAACCCGACCTGAGCTATCTAGGAAAAAAACGAGCCAACTCGCGTGTCAAACAAGCTAGCTCGTAGGTTGATTTTTTTTTTTAAATACAAAATATAATATACAAAAATAGACAAAACTCAGACACGCTGTCATCATTTTTTTTCTTTCTCTAAACCTAAGTCCCTAATCTTCTCAAATTACTGCCATTTTTATATTGTTAGGATGTGCTGGGGTCTGTTTGATTTAAATATCTTTCCAAAATTATTTCGTAAGACAAGCCAGAAAATAACTGTGCGTGGTCCGTGTGGATTTGAATCTTGCTTTAATTTGACACTGGCCCACCTAATCTATCGGTACCTAATTCCCATAACATGACAGATAAGATTACAGGAATTTTGTGGACACTATAAGACCACACCTGAATTTTACATTGTTGTGTGCTAGGAATTGAATTGAGAGATGACTATTGACTACTACATATGTGCCGTCCAAGCAGTGAGGAGTACCACATGGGTTATTATTAATTTCCAGAACTCATCTTAGTGAACAGAACAATTGGGCAACCCTTCACTCATGACGTAAGATTTTGCTTACGTAAAAGTAACCAGTTCGATCCTCTCTCCATTCAAATACTACTCGTATTAGATTTAATAATCTGATACATATGATTTCTGCTTCGCTATTTCGTGCGTGCTAACCGGCAAATCGTAAGCAGGGTTTAGTGTCTGTTCTAGTACTAACAGTTATTAGCTTCAACCGTGTTACTTTGCCTCACTAGTAAAACTAGTTACTATATATAGGCCAAGCTAGTGTCGCACACGGTTTGGTTTCTGTGAGCACACGAGTTTCTTTTGGAAGATCATATAATCAATCAATGGCTGAGAAGATACTTGACTCCACCCGAACAGGGATGATAAAAAGCTCCTCCCATCTAATTACTTCCATGTAAGTTATTTCTGATTACAAATTGGATTCTCTTTTCATATTCAACCACGTTTCTGTCTCTTTTCTCTTTTCCTTCTTTTAGCTTATGGTTAAAGTGAATGATTTTAATTCAGTTATGGCAACGATTCCCTTGAGCTGGTATGTGAAAATGGTCAAATTCATATGCAAGGAGGTTCATCATCAAGTGTTACAAGAAAGTTTCCCTCGTGCTATAGATATTCAAAAAGCCATTCCCGTGGCGAAGAAGCAGATAACGAAGATGCCTGCATTGCAAAAAATGCAACGTTAAGCACATATTCGCTTTTGGACTTCCCAGTTCAAAGAGACTCTGACTTATACAAAAGTTGCTGCAAGCTTAAAGTTGGATCTGCAAACTTAAAAGAATCTAAAGGATCACATGGTCTCACAGGAATTCAAGGGCAAAAACCTTTTATTCCAAGAAGTCAGGAACCACCTCCTGATGAGCATTCTGAAGCTGTTGGTCATGACAGTGCCCTTAGTATTCACGAATTCCATGGTCAATATTATAATCAAACCTCAAGCTCTGCAGGAGTTGGATCAAAGAGAAAAGCTCATACTAACTACTGTGATGAACCCTTGCTAGAATCTTCTTCCTTATACTCGCTTGGAGCATCAAGTAACACAAATATCAGTAGCAGGAAACATGATCATGACACCGATGACTCAATATATTTAAGTGATGACTACGTAAGTGGAACCTTATACTATATTTTCACCTTCTTTCACCCTTCTTGGTTAGCATGATTCTCAGGAACCTTGATTAACGTGGTGCACTGCAGAATGATGAAGAACCAGAAGATGTAGGTAAGGAAAAGCATGCTCGGAAAGGCACCAGAGTCAAGAGAAGCAGGAATGCAGAGAATCATAATTTACATGAAAGGGTGAGGAAACATGTACAGAGATGATAAAAAAGAGTTCAAGAGATGTAGAGCTTGGAGATTAACTAGTTTTTGTGGATGTTTGCAGAAGCGAAGAGATAAGATCAACAAGAAGATGTGCATATTGAAAGAGCTCATACCCAATTGCAATAAGGTGTGCATATAAATAAAAAATACTTTCTTCAATTATTTCCTCCTACAGAACTTTTTCTAAAAGCTAGAACTTCATGCGCTTGTTTTGTCTTGTATGTCTCTTAGATGGACAAAGCTTCAATACTTGACGATGCCATCGAATATATTAAGACCCTAAAGCTTCAGTTAAAGGTAAGTTTAATCCTTTTCCGTTGGTCAAATTATATTTAGGCCTTGTGTTAAACAATCATTTGGATGTTTTTAAGATTAGTGTTATATGATGCAGATTATGTCAATGGGTGCTGGGTTTTGCATGCCACTCACCATATGATCAACACACACCTTTTATAATAGCCCATATTAATTAATTAGGAAATCAAATGTAATTAATTAATTAAACATGTTTTAGTGAGTAAAATTAAGTATAATGCTAAATTAAATGAATCTGAGTCACTTTGGAGTTAAAAAGTGTACTCAGTGAAAATTAAGGGATATAAATGGGTACTGGCAAAAGTACCCAAAATATAAAAATAAAAATAGTAACATTCCTAGAATAATATTCCAGACTTTTGGGTAAAGTTTGGTAATTATTGAGTTGAATAGATAGACGAACCAATACCCGCTTAAAGCCACTTAACCTATGTTAAGTGACTTAAGCTACCAAATGACCCCCCATTTCCCCCAAGTCCCGTCGCCAGAAAACAAAGAGAAGGAGAAGAAGAAGGAGAAAGAAGAGGAAGGAAGGGAGGAAGAGAGAGAGAGATCAAACCTTGATGGTTTTGGATGATTCAAAAGCCTAAATCGCTTAGAATCTCGCCCTCTTTCATAATCCAAGCTTAGTTTTAAGTGGGGAGCTTTGTGTGGAGGGATATTGGCTCTCAAAAATTCGGCCCTTTGGAGAAATTTGGGGTTTTGAGAGTTTCTACCTCCATTGAAGCTTGATGAGCCATCAATCCTTGGTTGTGTGACCATTGGTGGTAAGATTCTAACCCTTGAACCTCATGATTCCTTGAAATTTGCATGAGTTAGGGTTTATGAATAGTAAATTGGGATTTTGATGAAATGTAGTTGAATTTGCTATGTTCTAGGAAGAATGAGATTTAGTGCATGTTGTAAGAAATGCTAGGAATGACATTTAATCGGTGGAAATGAGCCTAGATAGTCATTTGATAATTGTTCATAATATTGGAAAGTTCATGCTTGGATTGGTTAGTATTCTAGCATGTTGAACAATTGGTGAGTTGAATGATTGATTGTGTCCTAATGATGTCTAGGATTGAGACATTTGGACCGACCGTGAGTGATCAACCGCTTGAACAAGCTATGGAGCATGAGTAGCTCATTGGAATTGGTAAGCTCACACTTGTGTGGTGTTTTGAATTGAACATTTGATGGTTGATTGTGAAATACTCTTGGATGCAATGTGTTGATTGCATTACACCATGTGTAGGTGTTGGTTTTGGAGTAGAGTATTGTTGACATTGGTGAAGAACAAAGGTCGACTGAAGCATTGAGGTAAGCCTTCGGACCTTGGGTGTAATTCCCTTGACTGTTCTACCAAGCCCTGAAAGGGTGGAGGTTGTGATTGTGTATATAAATGCAATAAAATAGTGTAATACTTTGTTATACGTATGTGTATGCATTTGGTGTGGCATAGGATGGTGTTTCCCTATGTGGGTATGTTGCATGACGATGCGTAAATCATACATGGTAGTTAGCTGGCCAGTAGGACTATTTGCATCTGAGTTTCCTTAGGACAGCTTGAGAGCTCGAGGGATTTCTCCTGGAGATGTATTGCACTTTGCATAGATATGTATTTACTGCATTATTATTGTTATTGCTATTACACTGATATGGAACTGTGGGGTGGAGAGATGCTCCAAGGACCCCTGGTTTACTGGATATATTCGTATATCTCACCCCGTGTTGTGGGGACCCCCTTTCAGGTAAGGATGCTGCAGGAGCCTCTGGTGGCAAGTGGCCATATCTGGATTATGCATGAAATATGGCACTTCTTTGAGTTTATGCATGCCTTTTGTAGTTGACATGTATAGGATTTTATTTTGAAAGCCCATGATCATTTGTATATCTTGATTCATTGGATGAACTTAGCCTATGCTCATGCCTTTGGTTACACCTTGTGTTGATGGGAGCCAAGGGAATGATCATAGTGTTTTGTAAGTTAAGTTCTATGATTTGTAAAGGATATGTAATGTAAATGATGCCTACTTGGAATTCAATATATGCATGCTTGTTATGTATTGAGTTGTTGAATTGGTTGGGCTGAAAATCAATTAGGTACCCTCTTCGTTTAAACTGGTAAACGATGAGAAAACAAAGGTCATGCTGCCCAAATTCTAGCTAAATCTCATGAGGAGAGGTTGGATGAGTGCTAGGATTTAGTTTTGGGGCATGGACATTTGGGGTTTGTAATGGGGATGCATTTTCCCCTAGGCTTGGACTTGAGAAATGTGGGAATTGGAATTCCCTGGCAGCGCGCTTAAGCGCCCAGGAGCGCGCCCAAGCGCCCTGCTGCCCCTGCGAGTGCCAATGCATTCTGCCTCCTCGCGCTGGAGCGCCCAAGTGGGGGCTTAAGCGCCCAGGATTGCGCGCTGGAGCGCCCTGGCGTGCGCTTAAGCGCCCCTTGCTGCAGAAAGTTGGGTGGCTTACTTCCCCCTCGTGTTTTAGCGCCCAGGGTGGGGCTTAAGCGCCCAGGGTTGCGCGCTTGAGCGCCCTGGTCCGCGCTTAAGCGCCCTTCGCCACTGAAGGAGGAGATGCTTCTGTCTCTGCGCGCTAAAACGTCCCCGTGGGAGCTTGAGCGCCCAGGATAGCGCGCCTGAGCGCCCTGTTGCGCGCTTAAGCGCCCATCCACACTGGAATGCCTGATGCATACTGCCTCCGTGCGCTTAAGCGCCCAGATGGAGGCTTTAGCGCCCGATAGCGCGCGCTTGAGCGCCCGGTAGCGCGCTGAAGCGCGCTGGGCCTGTGACCAACACTCTCTTGTGTTGCTCCAAATTGTCCTAACTTGGGCTACAGTGCCCCGATTTGAGCACGGTTTGAAGCCACAGGTAGCTAATGAAGAAACCTACAATATAGTAGAAGATGTGAACTAAATAAGAAGTAAATTAATGATTTAAAAATGGAAAATGAACATGATGTTAAGCTTAATTTATCTGTTTCCGCAAGGCAACATGGTTACGATCACGAAATTGGGTATTACAAGTTCGGTACGTTTTAAAATGAAAAATTTATCCGGATTTTAATTGAACCCTTGTGATTGTAACTGCGCTTAATATCATAATGCGATGTTAACAAACCGGTTCTAGAACGGGGTGTTACACCTTTTACATGAGTTAATGGGAGCTGGAATGGGTTTCAGGCCAGACACAGGCGTCCCTTGCTGCATACCACAGTTCCCTATTACTGACAAGAGAGTCCTAATGTTTGGTTTCCCTAAACAAGTGCCACCCATTCCGATTTCTCATGCACCTTTCATTCCTATGGTCGGAAATCCTTCTACACAGCCATTTAAAACAAAATAATGGATAGTAAAGACTAATATATCAAAGGTAATGGCTAGAAAGGTTGATTTACTGAAAGACAGTGCGATCTGATTATAAACTGTCTGCAGCGAGGTTCTTCTGACAGTTCATAGTTGGATGCTTAGTACTGCTTGGAAGCACTGATGAAAATGGCCGTTGGAAGAATAAGACTGTTGTTATTAATTATCATCCAATGTTATGTGTTTGAAAGAATATCTTTATTATTGTTGGAAATATCTTTATTATTAGTAACTATTTATTTTCTTATTTTATTAAGATTTGGGTTAGATCTCGACTAAGCTAGCTCATTAGTGTTTTTATATATTGTATATTTATGAATAAATTCAATATACAGATTCATTCAATGTTCCTTTAGTCTTTTTTTATTCTACATGATATCTAAAGCCTAATGAAAGAAATTCTGATTAATTCTTTTTTCCGGTGAATCCACTGTTTATCGTCTTTTCCAATTTTTCTGGATACTTTCTCCTTGTCAGTTTCCGAAGACCTCTTTTGTTCTTGGATCATCTGTACGTTGTAGTCGAACCATTTTTCTTTGCAAACCACCGTCAGAAAACCTTGATCATCGCTCCTTCACTGTTGACCACCATCGTCCGGTAGCTTTTTCCGGCGAGCCACCTATCGTTGTGTTCGTCTCGACCGTGAGGTACTGTTTGTCCAAGACTCATCCCGAGAAAGTGTCTCATGCACGTGTCAAATCTTTGTGCGTTGTCTTCTATTTGTCGGGGCGTGGCGGCACGTAGCAACTCCTTTCCAATGCCGACCAATTAGGTTTTTCTCCCCTTTCTAAGACGGTTTTGGATCTGATCTTGTTTTGGTGTTTCGACATGATTTTTTGGTGACGCACGGATCCCACTCCTTCCGGTTAGTTTTGTGATCTGACATATTTGATTTTCTTTTGGTCTTCCTTTTTTTGTGATTATGGATTCTCCTATCTCTTATGTTTCTGAGTCTCCAACTGGTCGTGGCCGGACGTAAACCCTCTAAGGGTCGATTACTTTGCACTCATTGTCATCAGATCAATCATATTGTTGACCGCTCTTGGAAGCTCCATGGCAAGCCACCTCATCCTCCTTGAACTGCACATGTTGCTCAGGCTCTTTCTATTGCACATGATCAAGGGTTTTCTGCACCACAACCCCATGTCTCTCTTCTTAATGAATTTATGACTTGGTGGTATGAGAAACAAGCATCTGGTTCTACTACCTTCATTGTTTCATCTGGTAATTCTTTTGTTGTGATCTCTCAGTCACAATCTCTAAGTCCTTGTACTCTTGATTCTGGGGCTTATGTTAACATTTCTAGTAATAAGTATCTATTCACCTCTCTTTGTACTACTAGTTCATTTCCTACTCTTACTATATGACTAATGGGTCTTCGGTCCAATCCTGTGGGATCGGCACAGTTATTGTCTTCCGTACTTTATCTTTGGATCATATTCTTTATGTTCCTGATTCCCCTTTTAACTTACTTTTCATTACCTGTTTGACCAAATCCTTTGATTGTGTGGTTTCCTTTACCAAAACTTCTGTCATTTTGCAGGATCGGAGTTCAGGGAAGGTGATTTCCAGAGGATGCGAGTCTCATGGTCTCTATCAAATTTCCTTTCTTCTTCATCTTGCTATGCTATGGACTCTCCCCTCACTATCCATATTCGTTTGAGTCATCTAAGTCTTGCCAAGCTTTAGAAGATGGTACCCATTTATCATCTTTTTCTAGTTTACATTATGAGTCATGTCAGTTTGGGAAACATACTCGTAGTATGTTCCCCAATCGTATTAGTCGTTGAGCTTTGTCTCCATTTTCTTTGGTTCATTCTATTATTTGGGGGCTGAGTTGTCATCCTTCTTTTGTGGGATTTAAGTATTTTGTTACAATTATTGATGATTATTCTAGATGTACTTGGTTAATTTTGATGAAAAATCATTCCGAGTTATTCTTTATTTTTCAGTTGTTTTATAATGAAATCAAAACTCAGTTTGGTATTCATATTCGTACTTTTTGTAGTGATAATGCCTGTGAGTATTTATATCATCAATATCAACAATTCTTTTCTTCTCATGGCATTCTTCATCAAACATCTTATCCTCATACACCTCAACAAAATGGTATAGCCAAGCGCAAGAATCGTCACCTTGTTGAGACTATGTGTGCATTGTTAATTGATGGCAATGTTCCCTACAAGTTTTAGGGTGATGTTGTTCTCACCGCATGCTATCTCATTAATCGCATGCCTTCTTCTGTTCTTCATCATCAACTACCTCACTTCTGTTCTACATGTTTTGTTCATCATCTTGGTCCCGACTTGGATAAACTAACTCCCAAGTCTTATAAATGTGTTTTGCAGGGTTATCCCCTGTCTCAAAAAGATTACCGTTGCTACTCTCTGACTCTACGTCGATAATTTATTTCGGCAGATGTTTCCTTCTTTGAATTAGTTCCCTTTTTTGGCTCCACTAATGCTCCTATGGACTTTGATTCTGTTCAGTCATCTTTCTCTGCTGACTCCTTTGATTACCTTTCGCCTTTCCTGGTCCTTATATTTGACTTTTCTTCGGTCACCTTTTATCGTGATGAGTTACAAAATATTTCTCCAGATGTTTATGTGGGCTCACATTCGACTGCAACTCCTCCCTCGGCTTCGGTCCCACCTTCGGCTAGTGACCTTCTCATTGTTCTTTGTAAAGGTACTCGTGATACCTATAATATCCCTCACCATGAAATTTAATTAATTGCATATAATTAGGCAATTAATCTTGTATTAGTCAGTTAAATTAGGTAAAATATCTAATTAAGTGAATTGGGGCCACTTTTGAGGTAAAAAGTGCAGTAAGTGAAAATTATGGGGTAAAAACGTGTGCAGGCAAAAATACCCAAAATATAAAAGTAAAAGTAGAAATATTCCTAGAAAAATATTCCAGACCTTTGAATAAAGTTTGGTAGTGAATGGAGTTGAATAGATAGATAAGCTTATACCCGGTTGAGATAACTTAGTAAGTGACAAAACAAAGGAAAACCCACCCATTTCTTCATCCTCTTCGTGGAGCAAGAGAGAGAGTGAAGGAAACCATTGGAGAAGAGCTCCAAATTCTAACTTATTTGATTCTCAACCAAATCAACTCATTCCAAAGCCAAAACCACTTCAAATCCTCTCCTCTTTCTTAACCCTAACTTAGTTTTGAGTGAGAACCATTGTGGAGTGAGATATGGCTTGAGGAAGGGGGAGAAAATTTGACATTGGTGGAGCTTGAGGTGGAGTCTTTCATTCTTGTGGTTTGGAACCCTCACCTTGGACCATTGTGGTTGGATTGTGGTAAGTTTTCCATCCTTTTTGGTTAATTTGAATGAGGTGCATGTTTAGGGCTTTAATTTGATAAATGCATGAATAATAGGGTATGTTTGAGTTTGGTTGAGGCTTAGTTCGTTTACAAATATTGTTAGTAATGATAAATAAACGGTAGAAATGAACTTAGATTGTCATTTGGTTGTTGTTCAATATATTGGAAAATTCATGCTTGGGGTTTATGAGTTTTCTAACATTTTGAGCAAATTGTGAATTGGATGGTTGATTGTGTCCCTTGTGGTGATAGGATTGAGCCTTGTGGACCAACATTGAAGGACCAACCATTAGAGGAAGCCATGGAGCTTGACTAGCTCATTGGAATTGGTAAGTTCATGCCATAGTTGTGGTGTGGATTTGATTGTTTGGTTGATGAATATTGATATATTCTTGGATGCAATAGATTGATTGTATTACACCTTGTGTAGGTGTTTGCTTGTGAGGTTGTTGGTATTGTTGTAAAGCTTGGTTAATTGCTCATTGGTGGTGAACAAAAGTTGAGCTTGGAAGCATTGAGGTAAGCCTACAGACCTTGGGAATTGATCCATTAATTGTTCCACCAAGCCCTGAATGGGTAATGGTTGTTAATAATGTATGTAAATGCAATAAAGTAGTTTAATGCTTTGTTATACGTATGTGTATGCATTGGGTGTGGCATAGGATGGTGTTTCCCTATGTTTGTATGTTGCATGACGATGCGTAATTCATACTTGGTAGTTTAGCTGGCCAATAGGACTGTTTGCATCTGAGTATCCTTAGGACAACATGAGAGCTCGAGGGATGTCTCCTGAAGATGTTTTTACACACTGCATGAATATATATTTACTGCATTATTTACGGTTATTGCTATTATATTGTGAGTGAACTATGGGGTGGAGAGATGCTCCAAGGACCCCTGGTTTACTGAGATGTATTCATATATCTCACCCTGTGTTGTGGGGGACCCCCTTTCAGGTACAGATGCTGCAGGAGCCTCTGGTGGCAAGTGGCCATACTTGGATTAGATTGATGCATGAGGATATTGCATTATTTTGGTTATGCATGTCATTTTGTAGTTCCTATGTATAGGATTTATATTTGAAAGTCATTTGAGATATGTACATCATGCTTTATTTGATGGACTTAGCCTATGCTCACCTCCTTTGGTGTCTCTTGTTGTTGGTGAGAGCCAAGGGTTTAATCATAGTGTTTTGTAACTAAGTCTCATGGTTATGTAATAAAGACATTTGGATATTTTAATATTGTACTTATTATATATATGATGGAAGGGCACAGATGCCTATTTTGATAAGTGTGTGTCTTAAAATTGTAAGGATTATGTCTTGTAGTAGTTATACAATGCCAATTAGGTGAAAGAAAACCTTTAGCTTGAGAATCAATGTAATAATAAAGATGTCATGTCTTGTTGTCCATTTCTCATATCCTATATGATAGGTTTGGACCCTTGTGTCTTAATGGAAGTTATAGATCTTTTTCTTAGCTTTCCAACAAGACCAAGATTGCGTCAAACGGATAAGTATAACTCAAGTTATGGGTAAAATACCAAAACAAAAATAGTGAAATCTCCAGAACTGTGGCGCTCTTAGCGCCACCAAATAGTGGGTTGGCGCTGACAGCGCCATAAGACGTGGAAAAGTCAGTGTTCTGGCCCTATCAGTGCTGGACCCTGCGAAATTCAGCACCATTTTCTTCAAAAATTCATAACTTGAGCTACGGTGCTCCAAATTGAGCACGGTTTAAACCCACGCGTAGATAACGAAGAGATATATAATATATTGGGAGATGTGGACAATAAGAGTAGTATAAAATTCCTTAAGTAAATAAAAAGTGGAGGTGTTTAGTGTTGAATAACAATAAAAATGAGTTTTTAAGTCTTGTTGGTCTAAGAGGACTACTTGGCACACTGGGGTAGCAACGTATAGTCCAAATAAAATTACATTAAGTGTTCCACTCGTAGTTTAAGTTACGATTACAGTTTTGGAATTGTTTTAATTACAGAATTGATTTTAAACAGAAACATTTATAAAAAAGGAAAAAGTTTATCCGTACTTTAATTCATTGTAACTACGCTTAATGCCATACGTAATATTAACAAATCGGTTCTAGAATGGGGTGTTACAATACCCGCCCTCCGGCCAGATATACAGTTAATATTAGTTACCATCGTCTTTCTCCATCATATTATGCATGTCTTTCCTCTTTGTCTTCTGTGTCTATTCCTAAGACTACAGATAAAGTACTTTCACATTCCGGATGGAGACAAGTTGATGCACCCAAGCTGACTGACTTGGATCAAGCTTTTCCATAGTTTAGGGCTTTTCAATAATTGTTAGTTATTTACCCTTTTGTTATTTGGGTTTTTTTTATAGTTTAAGGCTTTTCAATAATTGTTAGTTATTTACCCTTTTATTATTATGTTTTGTCTATTTAAGGCTTAGAGAACCCTATTGTTATTAGGTTATTTTTGGTTAATAAATTTCTAAAAAGAGAAAAAGTGTTTTCTCGCAATCTTTGTTTTTAGTCTTTCTTTCTTTCTGTTTAGCCAATGTGTTACTGCTTTGGCATTACAGGCTATAATTGATGAAATGAGTGCTCTTCATCACAATGGCACTAGAGATCTAGTTTCTCTTCTGTCTGAAAAATCTTTTGTTGGTTGCCACTGGTTTATGCTGTTAAGGTTGGTCCCAATGGTCAAGTGGATCGCTTTAAACCCCGTTTGGTGGCAAAAGGTTTTACTCAGGTGTTTGGATTAGATTATGGTGACACTTTTTCCCCTATGGCGAAGATGACTTCTATTCGTCTCTTTATTACCATGGCTGCTATCTGCCACTGGTCTCTTTATCAGCTTGATATTAAGAATGCTTTTCTTCATGGTGATCTTAAAGAGAAAGTTTATATGGAGCAACCTCCTAGATTTGTTGCTCAGGGGGAGTCAGGTCTTGTTTGTCGTCTCCGCAAGTCTCTATATGGTCTCAAGAAATCTCCACAAGCTTGGTTTGGCAGATTCAGTAATGTTGTTCAATAATTTGTATGGCTCGAAGTGAGGCTGATCATTCTCTCTTTTGTCGTCATTCAACTTTTGGGTCTATCTACTTGGTGGTGTATGTGGATGATATTGTCTTCACAGATAGTGATAATCATGAGATTACTCAGTTGAAGCAACATTTATGTCATCAGTTTTAAACCAAGGATCTTGGGAAACTTTGATATTTTTTGGGAATCGAGGTGGCCCAATCTAAAGATGAAGTTGTGATATCTCAGAGGAAATATGCTCTGGATATTCTTGAAGAGACTGCTTTGTTAAATTCTAAGTCTGTTAATACCCCTATGGATCCAAGTGTCAAGCTTGTACTAAATCAAGGGGACCCCTTTTTTGATCCTGAAAGGTATAGAAGATTGGTTGGAAAACTGAACTACATCACAATCACTCGACCTGACATTTCATTTGTAGTTAGTGTGGTAAGTCGGTTTCTTAATTCTCCATGTCAAGAACACTGGAATTCCGTCATTTGTATTCTCAAGTATATTAAGGCATCTCCAGGAAAAGACCTTGAATATGAAGATAAAAGTCATGTTAAAGTTGTTGGATACTCTGATGCTGATTGGGCCGGTTGTCCTACTGATAGGAGATCTACTATTGGTTATTGTGTCTTTGTTGGAGGCAACTTGGTTTCCTGGAAAAGTAAGAAGCAGAATGTAGTTGTCAGATCAAGTGTTGAAGTCGATTATCACGCTATGGCTACTACTACTTACGAGCTCATTTGGCTTAAGCAACTTCTTAAAGAGCTCAAGTTTGAAGACACTGGATCAACAACTCTCATTTGTGATAACTAAGCAGCACTGCATATTTCTTCCAATCCAGTATTTCATGAAAGAATCAAACATATTGAGATAGAGTGCCACTTTGTTCGAGAGAAGGTTCTCGCTGGTGAAATTATGTCCAGTTTTGTACCCTCTAATAATCAATTAGCATATGTATTTACTAAGTCTTTGAGAGGTCCTCAAATAGAATATATATGTAACAAGCTTTATGCTTATGATTTATACGCTCCAGCTTGAGAGAGAATTAGAAAGAATATCTTTATTATTTATAAATATCTATTTTCTTATTTCAGTAAGATTTGGGTTAGATCTGAGTTAAGCCAATTAGTATTTTTATATATTGTACACTCCTCTATCAATTCAATATTGGGATTCATTCAATATTCCTTTTGGGTCTTTTTATTCTGCATTATCAAATAATTGTAAGAATTATTCAAATTAAAATGTCTTATTGGGCGATGGAAGCTTCTAAAACTAACACAACATTTAAAACTATGGCCAATTGCTTCATTCACTAACATAAAGCTGTAATGTGACAGGACATCACTTTGCAAAGTATGAAAATTGAATTACAACTTTATTTTAATGATAAGCCAACAAAATGAAAAGAGAAAAAAAAAAAAAAAAAAAAAACTATTATTTTATAAGCATGCTGGAGCGCGATGATTAAAAAAAACTCGTACAGGACAAACAGTCTGTTGTCATTTCCGTGATTTTTTTTTTCGGCTAGTGCTATATGACCCTTGTGCTTTTCGTGGCTATTTCAATTTATACAATTATTGTTTTTCAGGGAACAATTTTTTTTTCTTTTTGTTTTTTAACATTTTGTTCAACTCATATAATTTATTAATAATGAGAGCACGTTTTGGTTATATAATATACTATATATTTGGATTTGCAATCAACGCTTTGCTTAGCGACCCAAACCCTGTTCAGTGCCACTGGGAATTGTGATGAGATAGTAATAAGTTGATGGCAGCACTTCATTGTGTTGTTTATTTGACAACTTCAACTTGAATCGCTGAAGATTCTATTAAATAATCTTATAAATATCCAATTGCAACATTCAAGGATTTCATTTTACATTGAAAGTTGATCATTATGGGAACAAAACATCGGATTAGCCAGCATACAATCTTCATCTTTCATCACCAACAATAAGCTATCCAGAGTCTCTTCAATCTTTGCAAATGCAGGATGAAAGGTACTCGTAGCATGGAAAACGTAAATGCGGTGGCCTACCTGAATCCAGCTACTTCCTGGTTTTTTCTCCAAGCCTTTATCTTTTATCATGCTTCTCACCTTTGACATGTCTTCCCATCGATTCCCAGAGGCATATAAATTTGATAGAAGAACGTAGTGGCCTGGATCTTCAGGATTTAATTGGAAAATATGCTCTGCAAGGAGCTTAGCCAGTTCCACTTTGTTGTGAAGTCGACAAGCACCTAGTAAGGTTCCCAAAACATTGGCATCTGGTATCACAGGCATCTTTGTTATGAATATGTATGCACCATCAAGATCTCCAGCTCTACCAATGAGATCCACCATGCACGAGTAGTGCTCCATATCTGGTTCAATACCATAATCATTAATCATAGAATTATACAACACCCAACCTCTGTCAACTAGACCTGCATGACTACACGCGGATAACAGTGAAATAAAAGTAACTTTATTTGGTCTAATTCCTGCCACTTTCATATCTTCATAAAATTCCAAACCCTTTTCTCCTAGTCCATGAGCTCCACAAGCAGAGATCATAGTGTTATATGTTATGACATTCTTTACCATCATCTGCTTAAAGACCTTCACTCCGAGTTCCAGAAATCCACATTTGCTGTACATGTCTATCAGAGAGTTCCCAATAGACGCATTATATCCCAGACCACTTTTGATTGCATAACCGTGAATTTCCTTTCCCTGTCTAAGAGCTCCCAATTGGGTGCATATAGGAAGAACACTTACTAAAGTAATGGAATTTGGCCTATTCTCAGCTTCCCAAATTCTTCTAAAGGTATAAAATGCTGACTCAAAATCACCGACTAAATTATACCCTACAATCAGTGAATTCCATAACGTAGTATCCTTATCTGATATGTACTCAAATATTGACTCTGCTTCCCTGATTGACCCACAATTAGCATACATATCAATCAATGCGCTTCGTACAACTACATCCGATACAAGTCCTTCTTTAAGAACAAAGTTGTGCATCTCCTTCCCATGTTTCAACAGTTTGAGTTTTCCCAATGCGGGAAGAACACTTGTGGCAACAGTGGCATTCGTTGTTAAACCCGTATTTACCATTTTAACAAACAGTTCACAACTCTCTTGATATAGGCAATTTTGTGAGTAACCAGCAATCAAGGTACTCCAAGAAACTGTATCCCTATTAACCATGTGGCTGAATACACGATAGGCCTTAACTGGATCACCACATTTAGAGTACATGTCAATGATAGCGTTGGAGACGTACAAATCACTGTCAAAGCCACTCCTCACAGCACAGCCTTGCAGTGCCATTCCCAAATGCATAGCCTCCAATCTGCCACATACTGGTAAGATAGATGCTACAATCACTGAATCAGGCTTCAGACCCTGTGATCTCATCTTTCTAAACAGTGAAAGCGCTTCAAGCCACTCACCATTCCACACGGTTCCACATATCATGGCAGTCCAGGAAGCCAAGTCTCTAACCGGCATTTCTTCAAATAACTTATGTGCATCTTCGAAGCTGCCACACTTGGCAAACATGTCAATCACAGCACACTGAACAAAAAGATTAGGCTTTATTTTACAGTGCACCCCATTGCAGAGGATCGTCTCATGAACCCATCTTCCCAGTTCAAGTGCATGCATGCAAGAACAAGCCTTTAGGACAAGTGGGTATGTGTAATTGTCAGGGTTAAGCCCTTGTTTGAGAATGGAGAGATAGAACTGAATGGCTTGGGTAAAGTGGCCAGCATGAACAAGACCTCGGAGTATGGCATTCGAAGCAACGTTTCCCTTGAGGGGCAGTAGACAATAGGTGAGAAAAGCGTATTGGAGGCAACCAAAGTTGACATAGACATTGACAAGCTGTGAAGTAAAGGATTTATGAGGACAAGTGGGGTGAAAGAAACCGAGGACAACAAGAAGAGCGTGCAATCTTTTGGCTTCAAGAAGATGTGGTGGACACTTGAGGTGATCGAACAACGAGGTAATGGTGCTACTGGTGGTGGTGGTGGTGGCGGCGGTGAAGAGAATTGAATTGGGAATTGGAAGTAAGTGTTGTGCCTGTGCAATTGTAACAAGGGTAGTTCGTAGTCTAGTCCGAAACAGCATTCTCTAACACGACACGCATGACAATCTTCTTAATCTTGGTATTTATTTTCTGAATTGCATGTCGTAGTTGGAAGTTGAAACAGTCAACAATGTGCAACAACCTATAAAACCCTTCTATAAGCCGAGGAGAGGAGAGTGGAAGCGGAAAGAAGCTTTGTGCTCTGGTCTTTTTGGCGACTCTTCTTACATTTGCTCGTAAGAATCAATATAGGAGGGTTTAATATTTCTGGAAGACATAATAATTTTATCTTTTATTTATTATATATATATATATATGTTAAAAATGTAGGTGACTCACCTCTCAAAAGTAATTCAGTTGGCAATTGAGCTCTAAAAATTTGTTTGGGTCAAGAGTTCTAATCCTGTCTTTTGAAAATTTTTAGCTTCATCCTTCCTTCAACGACGATGAGGGGTAGCCATCAGAGAGCCGTACTCCAAGGAAGGTGATAGAAAGGGGTTAAATGTGAATACCTCAAGTTATAAAAAAAAAGAAAAATGTATGTATAATGTAACTCATACGTGACCATACGAAGATAAGTAAGAGAAAGGAAAAATTGGATTACATACATCTTTACATGTGTATGTATAAAACAATTTTTTTTTATAATATAACAAACATCAAATTCTAATTTTATATTGGTTAATGATATATATAGAGAGAGATGCTAAATGATAACAATTATAATTGAAGGGCTGCTAAATCTCTTTGCCTCTACTTGATTTTGACATGAAATTTTATTGTTATTACTTTAGGTGTGCTAGCATTTGAGTAAGGAAAGTATAAATTTTGATAACGACATTTCATCCAAATCTTAATTACTTGGGTTGCGGCCAACTGAACTTCAAATTCTTTCACTGTGCTAACTCATTTATATTCTAAATTTTAGTGTTATAAAACCCAGAGCGACCCGGTCGGGTCGATCCGGGAACCGGTAAACCGGTCAAATAACCGGTCTGGTTGAAACAATGGACCAGTTATGCATCAGAACCGGTGCTACCCGGTCGGTTTTCATGAAAACCGGTGATCCGATCGGTTAACCGGTGATCCGGCCCGGTCCCAAAAAAAAATCTAAATTTTTTTTTTAAAAAAAAAACATAATGAACATATTTGAATATTTTTTTGCTTATTGACTTACCTAAGTTATTACCTACAACACTAATATTATCTCAATTATGCATTATGTAGAAAATTTTGATTTGATTTATAGTTAAAGATGTCGTTTTCTTAACCTAAAGTCCCATATCACGATTATTATATTTTTGTTTGATTTTTTATTGGATAATAATATGTCATTTATTATTTTTTATATTAAAATATTTGAAATTTTTATTATTTTTTTTAGATATTTGAGTATGTTTATAATTTTTTTAATATAAATTATAAAATTGCATATAATTACCGGGTCATGCGGTTGAATCAGTGACCCATTGGTTGAACCAGTGACCCAATAAATTTGACTAAAAAAACGTACAAAAAAAAAAACTAATGGTTATAAAAAAAAGCTTGATCAATAGAATACATTGGATATTTGAATTTATATCTTTTAACTAATAAACTTACAAGATTTAATATATATATATATATATATATATATATATATATATATATATATTTGGAGAAATAATTTTTGGAGTTGTGGCAGAAATTATTTGTCTGTCACACAGAGAAAAAAGGAGTGAACTTCCCATCATGTTTTTCTCTCTCATCCTTTATGATTTCTCTCTCTCTTTCTCTTTGTGGCATACAAATGATTAGTAATTTTTTTTTTTGAAGATATGATTAGTAATTTTTTATATTCTCTTTCTTCCACAAAATTTGTAGGAGATTGAAAGTGGTATTGTGGATAAGAGAAAAGGTATAAAAAATCATCAAAAAACACATTAATTTCACCTAAGATGACACAAACTTGTATCTTTTAAAATGACAAATATTTTTTCTAATATATAGTTTAAGGGAAAAGTTATACTTATTACCATTTTTGTAGATACAATGTATGTTTTGATGATAACAAAGTAGCAACAACAAAAAGAGAAGAGCTTTGATAAGAGCAAAAAACATCAACCATATGTGGATATTGAAGATGTATGATGTAGCCACATAAGAAGAATAATGTCATATCAAAGTGGCAAGATCATTGGATCAAGAGCAACAAGAAATAATTAGAAGAGCAACACCAAGATCGAAGACAACTAACCATGGACAACATCTAAGAGAAGCTCAATATCATAACCATGGTGAAAAATGATCAAAACCAACAAAGTGTCAAGCAATGTCATATCCAACAAGTCAAAGCATCAAGTTCAAGAAAAGATCCAAGATACAAGACATGAAGCTAAGTCTAAAATCATATTTATAATATATCTTTATGACTTAGAATATATGTGAGGGTATATGATAGATTCCATTAAATGAGCTCAAAGTTTTTCTCAAAGTAAACATGTTTTTCAAATTGCATAATCAAGATGTTTTGCAAACATGTTTTTCAAATCCATAGAAAAGATCCTTGACATATTTTATAACTTCAAAACATATTTATCAAGTCAAGATCTTTCACAAAAAGTAGTTGGAAGCAAGCTAAAACACATTTGAACTTAAGATTTGTTGCTTAATTTCGCTGCTGTTTTCCATACACTTTTTCGTATCTAATATGATGGATTTGGATCTTGTGTTCTTCATAAAAGTTGTAGATTTATCTTTTATCTTTCCAACAAGACAAAGATCATATCAATCCGACAAGTATAACTCAAATTATAGGTAAAATACGAAACAATGTTTTTGCTGTCAAGTTGGGAATCAATTACCACTGCGACAGATCTCAACGGCTATAAAATGGCTAATTTTTCAAATGAGATCCCAACGGCTATATGTGACGCCCGACCACTTGCAAGAATCAATGACTGTCCCCACACACTAACACGAAACTTTTCAGTGTGCTTTGGCCTCACTCGCACACTTCCCGGGAAAACTTCCCAGGAGGTCACCCATCCCAGAATTGCTCCAAGTCAAGCACGCTTAATTGTGGAGTTCTTCCGATCCGGGCTACCGAAAAGTAGATGCATCTTGTTAGTATAGGTAGTACCAATTAATTCTTATAAGATATTTCCAACTGTACCGTCCCATACCAGCACAGCCTCTGGAATCCTTCTCTTTCGGGTGTTGATTCGATTCATTCATGTACCCCGTCCCTAGAAGCCTGCCAGGAGCCGCTCCTTGTCCATGCCCTTTCGCACCGGCGATCACTCCCCGCCCTCGACAGCGCCCGAGATGTTACACTATAAACGGCTATAAAACGGCTAGTTTTTCAAATGAGATCCCAATGGCTATATACGGCTAGTTTTCCAACGGCTATAAACGGCTAGTTTCCCAACGGCTATAAACGGCTAGTTTTCCAACGGCTATAAACGGCTAGTTTTCAAACTGCTATAAACGGCTAGTTTTTGGAAACACTACATATGCATTCTCAATGACTCAAAAACATTTGAGCATTATCTCTACACACATTAAGCATACTTTGAGAGCTTCTACACCATCACTTGCATATTCTTTCATATCTTTCAAAGATCAAATATAACTATTCTCATGTCACATGAGACAAGTTTTTTCTCCTACACACTCTTCGATAACTGTGTCACTTTTTTTCTTTTTTTTTTCTTTTCTTTTTTCAAGTGGTGGAGCCCACTAGTTTGTCTCTATAACATAAGATAACTATCTCCTTTAACATGAAATTAATAAAACCCTATAAAATAATATATATTTGGATTTGCAATCAACGCGTTGCTTAGCGACCCGAACCCTGTTCAGTGCCACTGGGAATTGTGATGAGATAGTAATAAGTTGATGGCAGCACTTCGTTGTTTGTTTGTTTGACAACTTCAACTTGAATCGCTGAAGATTCTATTAAATAATCTTATAAATATCCAATTGCAACATTCAAGGATTTCATTTTACATTAAAAGTTGATCATTATGGGAACAAAACCCCGGATTAGCCAGCATACAATCTTCATCTTTCATCACCAACAATAAGCTATCCAGAGTCTCTTCAATCTTTGCAAATGCAGGATGAAAGTAATTCAGTTGGCAATTGAGCTCTAAAAATTTGTTTGGGTCAAGAGTTCTAATCCTGTCTTTTGAAAAATTTTAGCTTCATCCTTCCTTCAACGACGATGAGGGGTAGCCATCAGAGAGCCGTACTCCGAGGAAGGTGATAGAAAGGGGTTAAATGTGAATACCTCAAGTTATAAAAAAAAAAAAAAAATGTATGTATAATGTAACTCATACGTGACCATACGAAGATAAGTAAGAGAAAGGAAAAATTGGATTACATACATCTTTACATGTATGTAGACGACAAAATTATCTCATATGATATCAAAAATATCAAATTCTAATTTTATATTGGTTGGTTAATGATATATATAAATATATATATATATATATATATATATATCAGAAAAATATTTCTGCAGTTAATGCAGATAAGTTATCTACATCTTTACTTTTAATGATATATATATATATATATATATATATATATATATATATATATATATATATATGGGATATGATCAACTTACACCGGTGTAAGAATAATAAATCTTACACCAAATCTTAACCGTTGATTTCCGTGCATCTAACAGTTGAGATTTATTGAGAATTAAAAATTAATTAACAAGTGAGACCTAATAAATCTTAACCGTTAGATGCAGAAAATCAATGGTTAAAATTTGATGTAAGACTTATTATTCTTACACCGGTGTAAGATGATCCTGCCCCTATATATATATATATATAATTGATTTGCCTCTACTTGATTTTAACATGAAATTTATTATTATTACCTTAGGTGTGCTAGTATTTGAGTAAGATTCCATACACATTTATGTGTATGTATAAAACAATTTTTTTTTATAATATAACAAACATCAAATTCTAATTTTATATTGGTTAATGATATATATAGAGAGAGATGCTAAATGATAACAATTATAATTGAAGGGCTGCTAAATCTCTTTGCCTCTACTTGATTTTGACATGAAATTTTATTATTATTACTTTAGGTGTGCTAGCATTTGAGTAAGGAAAGTATAAATTTTGATAACGACATATCATCCAAATCTTAATTACTTGGGTTGCGGCCAACTGAACTTCAAATTCTTTCATTGTGCTAACTCATTTATATTCTAAATTTTAGTGTTATAAAACCCAGAGCGACCCGGTCGGGTCGATTCGGGAACCGGTAAACCGGTCAAATAACTGGTCTGGTTGAAACAATGGACCAGTTATGCATCAGAACCGGTGCTACCCGGTCGGTTTTCATGAAAACCGGTGATCCGATCGGTTAACCGGTGATCCGGCCCGGTCCCAAAAAAAAATCTAAATTTTTTTTTTCAAAAAAAAACATAATGAACATATTTGAATATTTTTTTGCTTATTGACTTACCTAAGTTATTACCTACAACACTAATATTATCTCAATTATGCATTATGTAGAAAATTTTGATTTGATTTATAGTTAAAGATGTCGTTTTTTTAACCTAAAGTCCCATATCACGATTATTATATTTTTGTTTGATTTTTTATTGGATAATAATATGTCATTTATTATTTTTTATATTAAAATATTTGAAATTTTTATCATTTTTTTTAGATATTTGAGTATGTTTATAATTTTTTTAATATAGATTATAAAATTGCATATAATTACCGGGTCATGCGGTTGAATCAGTGACCCAATAAATTTGACTAAAAAAACGTACAAAAAAAAAAACTAATGGTTATAAAAAAAAGCTTGATCAATAGAATACATTGGATATTTGAATTTATATCTTTTAACTAATAAACTTACAAGATTTATATATATATATATATATATATATATATATATATATATATATATATTTGGAGAAATAATTTTTGGAGTTGTGGCAGAAATTATTTGTCTGTCACACAGAGAAAAAAGGAGTGAACTTCCCATCATGTTTTTCTCTCTCATCCTTTATGATTTCTCTCTCTCTTTATCTTTGTGGCATACAAATGATTAGTAATTTTTTTTTTTGAAGATATGATTAGTAATTTTTTATATTCTCTTTCTTCCACAAAATTTGTAGGAGATTGAAAGTGGTATTGTGGATAAGAGAAAAAGGTATAAAAAATCATCAAAAAACACATTAATTTCACCTAAGATGACACAAACTTGTATCTTTTAAAATGACAAATATTTTTTCTAATATATAGTTTAAGGGAAAAGTTATACTTATTACCATTTTTGTAGATACAATGTATGTTTTGATGATAACAGAGTAGCAACAACAAAAAGAGAAGAGCTTTGATAAGAGCAAAAAGCATCAACCATATGTGGATATTGAAGATGTATGATGTAGCCACATAAGAAGAATAATGTCATATCAAAGTGGCAAGATCATTGGATCAAGAGTAACAAGAAATAATTAGAAGAGCAACACCAAGATCGAAGACAACTAACCATGGACAACATCTAAGAGAAGCTCAATATCATAACCATGGTGAAAAATGATCAAAACCAACAAAGTGTCAAGCAATGTCATATCCAACAAGTCAAAGCATCAAGTTCAAGAAAAGATCCAAGATACAAGACATGAAGCTAAGTCTAAAATCATATTTATAATATATCTTTATGACTTAGAATATATGTGAGGGTATATGATAGATTGCATTAAATGAGCTCAAAGTTTTTCTCAAAGTAAACATGTTTTTCAAATTGCATAATCAAGATGTTTTGCAAACATGTTTTTCAAATCCATAGAAAAGATCCTTGACATATTTTATAACTTCAAAACATATTTATCAAGTCAAGATCTTTCACAAAAAGTAGTTGGAAGCAAGCTAAAACACATTTGAACTTAAAATTTGTTGCTTAATTTCGCTGCTGTTTTCCATACACTTTTTCGTATCTAATATGATGGATTTGGATCTTGTGTTCTTCATAAAAGTTGTAGATTTACCTTTTATCTTTCCAACAAGACAAAGATCATATTAATCCGACAAGTATAACTCAAATTATAGGTAAAATACGAAACAATGTTTTTGCTGTCAAGTTGGGAATCAATTACCACTGCGACAGATCTCAACGGCTATAAAATGGCTAATTTTTCAAATGAGATCCCAACGGCTATATGTGACGCCCGACCACTTGCAAGAATCAATGACTGTCCCCACACACTAACACGAAACTTTTCAGTGTGCTTTGTCCTCACTCGCACACTTCCCGGGAAAACTTCCCAGGAGGTCACCCATCCCAGAATTGCTCCAAGTCAAGCACGCTTAACTGTGGAGTTCTTCCGATCCGGGCTACTGAAAAGTAGATGCATCTTGTTAGTATAGGTAGTACCAATTAATTCTTATAAGATATTCCCAACTGTACCGTCCCATACCAGCACAGCCTCTGGAATCCCTCTCTTTCGGGTGTTGATTCGATTCATTCATGTACCCCCGTCCCTAGAAGCCTGCCAGGAGCCGCTCCTTGTCCATGCCCTTTCGCACCGGCGATCACTCCCCGCCCTCGACAGCGCCCGGGATGTTACACTATAAACGGCTATAAAACGGCTAGTTTTTCAAATGAGATCCCAATGGCTATATACGGCTAGTTTTCCAACGGCTATAAACGGCTAGTTTCCCAACGGCTATAAACGGCTAGTTTTCCAACGGCTATAAACGGCTAGTTTTCAAACTGCTATAAACGGCTAGTTTTTGGAAACACTACATATGCATTCTCAATGACTCAAAAACATTTGAGCATTATCTCTACACACATTAAGCATACTTTGAGAGCTTCTACACCATCACTTGCATATTCTTTCATATCTTTCAAAGATCAAATATATTTGAGCTCATATCTTGAAAATCCATATACCTATAGTGTACATTCATTTCGAAATATTTTCTCATTGTATTCTTGAGTTGAAAGGGTTGTGAGACCCATTGTTTGAGAGGTGGCCAAATACCTAAGTAAATTTGGAGTGAATTGTAAGGTTATCAACTACCCGTAAACTTGGAGATTAAAAGGTGTCAAAGAATCCGAAGTCTTGGAAGATTGTAAAGGTTTGTCAAGCACCTGTGAAGCTTGACCATCAGTGAAAGAGTTGATCGAGCGGCTTCAGTCTGGACGTAGGTCACAAGTGGTGGTGACTGAACCAGGATATATTGTGTTAGCAATTCTCTAAACTCTAAACTCTTTATTTCTAGTACTTTAATTGCTTCTTTGATATCTTGTATGTGCTAGCATAAGCTCTATAATTGTGATATATTATATGTTATGGATTGTCTGAATGTATTGATTAGCTTTCCACATCTCAAAGTTTGCTTTAAATAATTATTTAGAAACTAGAAGGGGGATTTTGCCAAAATTTTGTAATACTCATTTCACCCCCTCTTGAGTATGGAAGCCACATTCCTAACAATTTTAGTCTTGTCTCTTATTACGTGATTGATTACCGTTAGATCAATTTGAAATCAAAGAAGATTAATTTTTTCCATTTTTTATCTGTTGATTTCAAATTGATCAAACAGTAATCAATCAGGTAGTAAGAGTAATAAAACAAAGGGTTTTATAATTCTCATGTTAAAGGAGAATTGAAATCTCATGTTATAAAGATAAAAAGCATGTGAGACCCATGTGTTAGAAAAAATTATATGTAAGACCCATGTCAGCATCGAAGGGTGTGTAGGAAAATTATAAGTCTCATGTTAAATGAGAATTATAAAACCCTAAAACTAAAATGGTAGTAAGTATAAACCACCTCGTAGTTTACTAGCATAAGATTTTTTAAAAGATTTCACATTTGTTATTTTTCATTTTAATTTTAATTTCAAAACCGCTCATGTAAACATTTTTAAGACCTATCTATTTGGATAGGGTTCATTATCTAACTTTTAGCTACTCGAAGTTGCTACAAGTACTAACTTCAATACTCGAGTCTCATGTCAAAGAAGGCAGTGTCGTCGTTACCACTTTGAAGTTCCAACATATAGCTATTTCAGTTTCTACATGGCTTGAGCGTTGAGCCAGCTAACACGGCTGGGTGCATACTAGGAGCCAAACGTGCATGGACATTGACAATATCATTATATTATAAACAGTTGCCATGACACCACGGCGGATTTTGGATTTTGCTAGATGTGAGATATTGTACAAATTTCTTGTCGTTTTTTACACGTTATGTGGATTACAGAGTAATCCATCTTTATTAATTATTAGTATAAGAGTTGAATATAAGAGGATTCTGAATACAGATAAACCTCATCCTTAAATTTTCTATATTTTTTACACTTGTATTGTCAAGGGAAAAACAGGAGATGATGAGTGGGTGAGATATCCTTCCACGATTTCACCAAAATAAATATAAAATAAATAGACTTGCAAAATGATAAAAGCTTAAGAGCCGCATAACCATTGTCTTTTTCTCCAGAAATAAGGTGATGTATCATTGTCATAAGATCCAGAAGCAGCAATCTTTTACATCAGCCATGACACAATTAATTTGAATTATCCAATAACATAAAAATTCTTCGAAAGTCTAGAACATTAACAACTTTCAATAATTTATTTAACCAACCTCACGCTAGAAATTTTGTAGCAATTTGTCTCTCTCTCTGGCTCTCTCACTCTCTCTTTCACACACACACAAAAATGGGATATCTAATTAGTGTTGCCATGGTGAGTTTTACTGTTTTGATCATGTCAAAGATTTGGAAAATCTGTATGATTCTCTTTTGGAGGCCATATGCCCTTACTAGGCACTTTCAAAAGCAGGGAATCATGGGGCCACCTTACTCCCTTGTTTATGGTTCTCTCCCTGAAATCAAAACCATGATGAAGGATGCAAGGGAAAAGGTCATGGATAGTCACTCACCTGAAATCACTAAGAGGGTTCTTCCACACTACCAAAAATGGTCCTCGTTATATGGTGATTTCTCTTCCACACCCTCTTGTTCTAGTTACCTTGTTTCAACCCTCATGAATGACTGGATTTACTTCTATTTACTTAATTTAGCCTTATCTTGTTATTCTTGTCCCTCGTGATTTGCATGTCCTTATCCTTATCCCTAATAAGATGTAATCCACGATCCCATATTAATGTAAAACTCCGTAAGGCAGCAACTAGTGGAAGCAGTTACAACTAGGAAATGAAATTGGTAAGCATCAATATTAGAATATATTGTTTATCCAATATATATATATATATATATATATATATATATATTAGACATATTATTCCGGCTTGATCGTTAGACTTGAGCTGGAATTTTGAGTACATAACAACTGTGTTAAAATTTTGATAAGGAGAGTTTTTTTGTCTTTTATGTTCATGCCCGACTATATATATATATATATATATATATATATATATATAGACTTTAATGTTTTTAAAATAAATGTAGATAAGTTATATACATATTATTCCGGCTTGATCGTTAGACTTGAGCTGGAATTTTGAGTACATAACAACTGTGTTAAAATTTTGATAAGGAGAGTTTTTTTGTCTTTTATGTTCATGCCCGACTATATATATATATATATATATATATATATATATATATATATATATAGGCTTTAATGTTTCTAAAATGAATGTAGATAAGTTATATACATTCGCTCCCAAAATGACGTTGTTTTGGGTTGAAAAATTAAAAAATTATAATGAGAAAGACTATTATAACCCTGAAATAAATTATAATTACAAAAATACATTGATTTCTGCCTCAAAGCGACGTCGTTTTGGGCTCACTGTAGATAAGTTATCTACATTGACTGTAGAAAAAACGAACCCATATATAAATATAATATATATATATATATATATATAGGCTTAGTGTTTGTCATTTTAAATGACATAAGTTATGTCATTTTAGGAGAGAGATAGACACAGCAAATGAAAATCATGAGAGAGAGAAAGTGGGTGATTTTTTTTAATTTAAAATTTAAATAAAGAAATTTATTTTGTATCTATCTCTCTCTTAAAATGAACTTTATGTCATTTAAAATGACAAACACTTTTCTATATATATATATATATATGTGTGTGGAAAAGTTATATTTACAAACTCTTTGTTTACAAATTACATTATGTCTCACCGGTAAGATATTCTTGAGTGGAGTGTTACCGAAGATAACGTAGTTTGTAAGTTTGTCAATATAACTCTATATATATGTCTATGAATCGAAGCTTAGGTTTATAGTTGTGGTTCATATTATATGTATGTATAACTCTTAATTTTCATGGCGCAGGGGAGACATTTCTGTATTGGCACGGAACTAAACCAGTGATTTGCATTCCTGATCCTGAGCTGGCCAAAGAGATTTTATCAAACAAGTTTGGTTTCTATGCGAAACCCAAGACCAGGCCTTCTATAGTAACTATGATAGGAAACGGGTTAGTTCTAGTAAATGGATTGGAATGGGTTAAGCACAGAAGGATACTCAATCCTGCCTTCTCCATGGATAAACTAAAGGTCTAAAGCCCCATATTAATTTAGTTTTTGAGTTCAATTGGTATGCATTAAAAATAACATTTACGATTATTAAACATGTTGATTGAGTTTGATCTCTGACTGTGTATAGAAAAGACTTTGTAGAGAGATTTATCTACTTATGTGATCTTAGACTTTCAGTTGGAGGATATCTTGAGAACCAAAAATAAATAAATAAATAAATAAATAACATTTACTAATTTTTGAACACCTTATTATTTTGTTATCACTTCATTCTCTCATTAATTAAAATAAAAGTGATAAATGATTATATATCACAATATTAGTGAATGTCAGGATAGAAAAAATTTATACTAAAAATGTGCATACCAATTAAAGTCTTAGTTTTATACGAAAACTTCTATTCGAAAACAAATTCTTGAATATTTTTTCATTCCCAATTTTAAGGGGATGTCAAATTAAATATTAGGATAAATGCGATGATCCCTTGAAACTTTTAGAGATGAGTTTTATAGGAAAAATTTACCCTTGAAATTCTCACCCTAGATTTTTAAGTAGGTATCAAATTCAATCTGGTATTTCCTTAAAACTGAGGGCGAAAAGTGTTTTATGAGAAATCAATCACTGAAGTTTTCTCCCCTAGACCAAACTAACTAGTAAAATAAATATGATGTCTTTCTTTGATATAGCATGTGATGCACAGATGTGCAACATTTCCCTATGCTTTTCAATCATCTATTGCATCCATCTCTGTGGCTATGACAGGTCATGATTAGTAGTATGGCAGCATGCACCATTTCCATGCTGAATGAGTGGAAAAGTCAAGCCCTTGAAACCAAGGACAAATCCAAGACAATAGAGATTAAAGAAGAATTTCAAGAGCTAACAGCAGATATAATAGCTCACACTGCCTTTGGTGTCAGCTTTGTCCAAGGAAGGGAGGCCTTTGATGCACAAAGGGAAATTCAAAAGTATTGCATAGCTTCAAATGTTGACATTTTCATTCCTGGCAGCCAGTAATATTTCTCTTACTCATCCTTTCCCAAATTTGAATTCCTTTCTTTTATTTTTTGCTAGAGAATTGGAATTCCTTTGGTTCTGCATGCACTCAGTACGTAAATTTTGGTTTCTGGTTTTTTTATGCAGATATCTTCCTACTCACTCAAATTTCCAGATATGGAAGCTTGATGGGAAAATGAAGAAATCTATACAGAGCATTATAGAAAGTAGATTGCATTCTCAATCAGATTGCTCTTATGGTGACGATCTGTTGGGGTTGATGATGGATACAGCAAAAACAAAAAGTGGTCCTAAGTTGAAGATGAACGAAATCATAGAAGATTGCAAGACCTTTTTCTTTGCCGGTCATGAAACCACTTCAAACTTGCTCACTTGGGCAGTGTTCTTGTTGAGTTTACACAATGAATGGCAAGAGAAACTTAGACAAGAGGTCTTGCAGAACTGTGGCATGGAAATTCCTGATGAAGATATGTTATCAAACTTAAAAATGGTAAGATTTTAGAATTATAATGAATCAATTCCTCCCTTGATAAATATTAGGAAGTTACTAACTTGATTGGACTTTTTCTAAGGTGAATATGGTATTGCTGGAAGCGTTAAGATTGTATTGCCCCGTGATAGAACTACAAAGGGAGGCTTCGGAAGACATGAAACTGGGAAATTTGTTGATACCAAAAGAAACATGTCTCGCAATCCCAATTACAATGATTCACAGGAGCAAAGAATACTGGGGTGATGATGCAAACGAGTTCAATCCACTGAGATTCATAAATGGAGTTTCTAAGGCTGCAAAGCACCCAAATGCTCTACTTGCCTATTCAATGGGTCCAAGAAATTGCATTGGTAAGAATTTTGCTATGCTGGAAGCGAAGACAGTAATGGCTTTGATTCTTCAGAGATTTTCTTGGTCCCTTTCCCCTGACTACAAACATGCACCTGTAAACAACCTTACTTTGCAGCCACAACATGGCCTTCAAATCATTGTGAAACCTTTGCAATTGTAATTCTTAGCTTTTTTTTTTTTTTCCCCTCTCAGACTTCTTGTTTATTTTACAGCTACTTGTTTCTACTTTCTAGTTTGGCTGCAAATTATAGAGATAAATGCAATCTGTTTGTGTCTATTGAGTCCATTTCACTTCATGTCATGTGAAAAAACTTCATCAACATCGACATTGTTGTTTATAACGCTCTAATGCATTCTTTATTATTAGGTTAATTTTATGTTTGTTTCACTAAATTTTTATAAGATTCATTTAATAATAAATGGTGTGTTAATTTAGAATAAAAACTTTCATGGTGATGTTTGGCAAGCAACTATTTTTCTTTAAATATCCGGAAATGCTTTTGCGTGTCCACAACCTCAACCTCCCATCTAAAGTAGTAGTACTTCTTCATAGCAAGATCAACTTGTGGAAAAGTTGTACTTTCTCAGGTAAAAATTTGTATCTTTTAGTTGATTTAGTGATGATGAGAGATCATCTAACTAGCATAATCAAACATGAAACAACAAAATATCAAGTCAGACTCCTGCATGACTTAATTAACTTATTGATCGTGGCATTGCATGAATCATACATAAAGAATATGCCAAAAACAATCGTTAGACAACAGAAATTAGGTATTACGATTTATGAGTCTTGATCGAGTTCTTCTATTTTCGTGGTATTTTATGAATTATAATGTACACCACCGGGAAACTAATTCATGGCAGCATTTAAATATCGCTTTTTGGCCAATAAGTACTCTTCAGAATTATGTGGAAAATAAAATGTGAACAACCAATTTGCCTAAAAGTTCAAGTCGGTATGTGAAGGCTCATAAAAGATTTTTATATTTTTCTAGATTTATGCAACTTTTGGATTTGAAACGTGGATTATGTATGAGATCTACCTATGGTAGTTAAAATCGGAATTCTACCTAAAATCGGAAGGAGGATTAAAAATCGTAAAACGTAAAATCCTAACGTAAAAGATTTTTATATTTTTTTAACACATAGATTCGTGCAACTTTTGGATTTGAAATGTGGCACGAATAAATCCAAATCGATTATTTGTCACAAAGATTTTTATATTTTTTTAACACATAGATTCGTGCAAACATTGATCAATCTAGTAGGGTTGCGAGGGTTAGGGTTTACAATAGGGATGTTGGAATTCTAATTCCTGACAAAGAATAAGATAACTGCTCATGTACGCACTAGGGATAGGCTACATGAACAGCGAACGTTAAAGGTTCATTGATTCTAAGGGTTAACTTGAAAAGAGATTTCTAAGGGATTAGGATTCTAATAGAGTTAACAAGGTTAAAGTCACTAAGGGATTAGGGCTTAACTACTCATATAAAAGATGATGAATTGTTCGATCAATTGAATAGGTAAATGTAAACGTAATCCAAGTTGCAAGGTGGGGATCGGAAAGGTGTTTGTTTCTCTTTACCGCAATATTTTCTCAAATATTTTCCCAATCCTTAATCTTTTGTTCTTGCATTCTGAAAACACTTTTGGAATTATTTACATTTTTACTTTAATTATTTTAGTTTGTTTCATGAACTACAATCATTCTCAACCTATTTTGATTAATCCAACAAGAGAGGAATAGTTATAACAACTTAGGTGCCTCAATCCTCGTGGAGACGATACTCTACTCACTCTTTATTACTTGGTACGATCGGTGCACTTGCCAATTTTACGCATCAAGTTTTTGGCGCCGTTGCCGGGGATTGACTACGCCAAGTTATTTATAACTTTTGATTTTCTTGCTTGGATCTTTGTGTTACTAATCTGTTTGCTTTAGTTTATGCGTGGTACAGTTGATCCTGCAACTTTGATTTACGATCCAGAGATAGAAAGGACTGCAAAGAGGATAAGACAACATACCAAGCAGAAGAGGCAAGCAGAGGCTTCTACTTCACATTCTGAAGCAGAAAATTCTACTTCACACTTTGAAGTAGAAACAGAGATGGCAGAAGAAAATCCACCAGCAGCTGAGCTGATGGAATCAGTTTTGGCTCCTCAATTCACAAGGCCAAACTCGAGTATTGTCAAACCACCGATTGCTGCTAATAATTACGACATCCAGCCAGCACTCATCACCTTGGTTGAGAAAACTCAGTTTGGTGGAGAGGACTATGAAGATCCTCATGACTTCATAGACAGATTTTTAAGGATCTGTGATACAACTAAACACAACGGAGTGTCAGACGATGCGATCAGACTCCGATTGTTCCCGTTTGCATTGACCGTGAGAGCTCTCAAATGGTTGGATCGACAAGCTCCCAACAGCATCAGAACATGGGAGGATTTGGCGGCTAAATTTTTTGCTGAACACTTTGCCATGGAAAAGTACAATAAGTTGGTGAATGAAATCACCAATTTTACCCAACAACCAGGAGAGACTTTATGTGCAGCCTGGACTCGATACCAGGAGTTGATCAGGAAGTGTCCACAATATGACTTGCCAGATACAAAGAAGGTCAGAGTCTTCTATAATGGGATGACGCCAGAATGCAGAATGATTGTCAATGGTGCAGCTGGTGGCACCATAGGAAAGAAGACAGCAGATGAGACCTTAGAGCTGCTGGATTTAATGGCAAGGAATGAGAATGCGTCTATGGCAGCAGCATTCCCATCTGTTCAGCCCAAGAAAGGAATTTTACAATTGGGGAATAATGATGCATCACTGGCTGAGCAAAAAGTGATTTCACAGCAATTGGCCAGTTTGAATGCCAAGCTGGACAAGATGCTCTCAACATCCAAGGTTGATATATTTAACTGTGAGTATTGCAAGGAGCCGCATGATACTAATGAGTGCCCTACACTCAATAGAGCTGAACCATTCCAGGTCAATGGAATTTGGTATGATCCAAGGCCTCCACAAAATATTCAAGGTTACCAAAGGAATCAGAATGGCGGCCAAGGAAATAACTTTCAAAGGAGGAATCAAGGGAGCGGCTTGGATTATAAATCCAACAACTATCTGCAACCTCCTCCTCTGCCACAAAAAGAGCCATCTGAATTGGAGAAAGCGATGATACAACTTTCCAAAACCACTAATGATCACATAAATGAGACAAGAGCCTACCACAAGAACCAAGACGCTTCAATCAGAAACTTGGAAACTCAAATTGGCCAACTTTCAAGACAACTAGCTGAGAGGAGTCAAGAAAAGAGCGATGCAGTGTCAAAGGAGCAATGCAATGTCATCACTACAAGGAATGAGGAGCTAGAAAAAGAGAAAGTTGAAGTTTCTACAAGAAAGGATGAACAAGCTCAAAAAGATGAAGAAGAAGCAAAGGAACAACCTCCTGCAGTTCAAATGAAGCAATGGGATTTCTCACGTTTTGAGAAACTCCCATATCCAATGAGGCCAAAGCAAAATGAGCAAAGGAAGCAATTGTCTAAATTTTTAGATATTTTTAAGAAATTGCAGATTAATATTCCTTTTGCAGACACTCTGGAGCAAATGCCCTCATATGCCAAATTCTTGAAGGAAACATTATCTAAGAAGAGGAAGCTCACAGAGGATGAACCGGTCACATTAACAGAGGAGTGCAGTGTAATCCTACAGAAAAACATGCCTCCAAAGTTGAAGGATCCAGGAAGCTTCAGTATTCCATGCATCATTGGCAAGACAACTATAGAGAAAGTCTTATGTGATCTTGGTGCCAGCGTTAATGTGATGCCATTAACCCTGATGAAGAAGCTGGGAATTGATGAAGTCAAGCCAACTAGGATGAATGTTCAACTGGTTGACCGCTCAACAAAGCAAGCACATGGTATTGTGGAAGATGTGCTAGTCAAGGTAGACAAATTTCTAATTCCTGCTGATTTTGTTATCCTTGACATTGATGAAGATGCCAGTGTGCCTATGATCTTCGGGAGGCCATTCTTAGCAACCTCAGGAGCATTAATCGATGTACCTAAGGGTGAGTTGATAATGCGCGTGGATGGAGAGCAAGCAATATTCAAAGTACTTATAAATGAAGCTCCTCCATTTCCTGCTCCTCAACCTAAGAATCAAGTCAATTACATTGCGGAGAAAAAGGTTGAGGAAAGGAATAAGAAGGAAATTCATCAGTGGCATGAAGGAAGCAAGCCAAAGGTTAAGATGGAAAAGCCCAAGGGTAAGGAAAAGCATGTGAGGACTAAGTTTAAAGTTTCTGAGAACCCTCATCCTTATCCACATGCATATGAGTATAACCATGGCGGGACACAAATTCTGAGCAAGGGTATAGTGTCATCACTGAGCCCGAGTTACCAGCCACCATGATCACAAGGGGTACGTCAGGCTCGTGACGTTAAACAAGCGCTACTTGGGAGGCAACCCAATGAGTTTTTATTATTATTTTTTTTATTTCCTTCCCCTTATCTGTCTTTAATTTTTATTTTGATGTTTTATTTTCGTTGTCTTTGTTTGACCATCTAGGTTTATGTTAGGGTAATTTGAACCTCGTTGGTATTTTGAGTTATAATTCTCCAGTACATTGGTTATGTTATTTTCTGCCTGATATTTCACATGTGTGATGTTTATACTTGTGCAGCAGTATTTTCTCCAACTACTTTAGTTATTGCTGAGGACAGCAATATTCTAAATCTGGGAATTGGGGCTGCATACACGGCAATCGAGGTATCACACACAGAAAAAGGTTCAGCGGATTCATAGCTACTCCAGGGGAGTTATTTTAACCTTTCTAGTTATTTTCATTTTTTTTTCTCATTTTGGTAGAAATCTTGTGTTTTTAGTTTCATTTCCTGCTATGTGAAAGCACAGTCCTGATTTAGATGTGCTACTCAGTCAATTCCTTGGTTGAATATGAGGAAGCATTGCATGATATGCAAGATTGTCATGACATTGCATAGAGCATGAATAGAGATTATGATTGCTCGTTTGTTTGATTTCTATGATAATGATGCTTGAAATGAAATTAAGAAGAGTCTAGTTTGATACCACAGCTTGTGAGGTTTGTGCCTATACAGTTAATTTTTTTTTAGAGTCCTCACTGCAGTGGTACTCTAGAACTTGATCTAATTCTCTCCAATGCATGTGTTGATTGAAGTGATAGAGGCATTTTGTTCTATTAAGCTTATGGCCAAATAGCTACCTAAGAAATCATCCATTGTTAGCCATGTTGAGCCTGAGACCAATTTTTTTAATTACCTTATTAAACTGTTTAGACCACTTCCA